TCAAGATGTGTGTGTGTGTGTGTGTGTGTGTGTGTGTGTGTGTGTGTGGCACAACTTCGCTTCACTATGCGATTCAAGATGAGGAAATGGAAATTGCTGAATTACTTTTATATCATGGAGCTAACGTTAATGCCAGTGATAAATTAGGTATAACTTTAAATTGTAGCTGAGAAAAGATATTTACAGATTCATAAACATCTTTTGAAACATGGAGTTTTATGTTAATTCGACATATATCTCTTCTTTTGGACCAGGTGTTACACCACTGTGTCTTGCTGTTAAAAAGGAAAATGTAGAAGTTGTTGCAATGTTGTTAGACAAAGGTGCTAACATTAATGCTATATCATGTAACGCGCGCGCGATTATTGTGACTTTTCTAGTCTCATCTATTGTGAAGAAATTGCTGATTTTATTAAACAGCATGTAGTTAAGATAAAAGCCGCAAATTTATCCGTAAGTGAACAATTATTATCAATGAGCAGCAATTATGAAGTAAGGAATTTACAGGATAAATGTGAAATAGAAGTAGCAATCATGAAGAATGAGAAAATTAGTAATACTTACATATCATTTTACGATATCTTGATAAAAGATACAAATCTAGTAGCAATATATATGAGAAATGAAAATGTATTGCAGGTTTTAAGATCAGACGAGTATAAAACAAAATTTCCAATATACTCTAGCATGATAAAAAATCAGTTCAGAAAAGGTATGAAAAAGAAAGAATTTTTCGAACAAGGCACTAAAAGTCTCTATTTTTTATGTAATTTTCCTGAGCTACCACGTGAGTGTATTGATCAAATATTTAGTTACTTAAGTGATAACGACATAAGAATTTTAATAGATACTTGTAAGTCTGTTAGTGTCAGTAATTTTAATACTGATATTAATGATGATAGAAATTACTTCAAATACATCCAAAGTGCTATGTGTGTAAGTTAAGGANGAACAAACTACTTTAAACATGAAAAAACAGNTATAAAAACTTAAAGAGTATTGCTGTATTTTAAATACAGATTACTATCTTATTTTGNAATTATTATTNTTTTTTTAAGATTTTATCTTATCCTACTTTTTTGAAAGTTGTTTTTTACGTTTACATTTTCTTGGACGTCCCAGTTCCGTTATTACTGGTAGTCACGAAGTAAGAGTAAGGAGATCGAACTTGATAGCGCGCCAATAGAAAAAGTGGT